GAATGACTACGTCTGGGGGCGCTACCAAGCCAGAAATATTATTACTATTTTCGGATCCACACCCCAATGATTACAAGGGAGAGAGCTTGTATTTATAGAGAAGTAAATCCTAACCCCAAGGCAACTAGGATGTGTTTCCTAAAATAAATTAAGAAACGTGTTTCCAAAAATAAATTAAGAAACTGTCTCTAACACCTTACAATCTTCCACCTAGAGACTGTCTTCTTCAAACCTCTCTTGTAAGCATGGTAGCGTCGGCCTTCATCTTCAAGTACTCAGGCCAATTGAAGCTATGATAAGCTTCAATTTCTCCAAGGTTACCACCTTAGTAATCATGGCTGCTGGATTCTCACTCCCATGGATCTTCACAAGCTGCAATGTCTTTATGTCCAGAAGATGACGGATGTAGTGATACTTCAACTGAATGTGTTTGGTTCTCTTGTGAAAAGCTGAGTTGTTGGCCAAGAAGATAGCACTTTGACTGTCACTGTAAAGAATGCTATTCTTGTACTCCTTCCCAAGTTCCCCAAGTAAATTCTGAAGCCACACCATCTCCTTACTTGCCTCCGTAATGGCCACATATTCAGCATCAGTGGTAGATAATGCAACAATCTTCTGCAGCTGCGAAGGTCAGGAAACTGCCGTTCCACCAAATGTAAAAACATACCCGGTGGTGCTCCTCGATCCATCCGAGTCATTCGATGCGAGGTTTGCATCAACATGTCCCAGCAGATCTACATTCTTCCCATCAAAACACAGAGCATTAGAAGCAGTACCTTTCAATACCTCATGATCCACTTCACAGCTTCCCAGTGTTCTTTCCCGGGGTCTCCCATGAATCTGCTTACTACTCCCACTGCATGTGCAATGTCTGGCCTTGTGCACACCATCGCGTACATTATGCTCCCAATTGCCGATGCGTATGGGACATTCTGCATTTGAGCACGCTCCTCCTTGTTCTTCGGTGAGTCTTCCTTGCTAAGCTTGAAGTGACTACCCAACGGTACACTTGCTGCCTTTGCATCTTGCATTTTGAATCTTTCTAAGACCTTCTGAATGTATTCTGCCTGTGAAAGATACAATTTTCCCGCTGCCTTATCCCTCTCAATTCGCATGCCCAAAATCTGCTTTGCCTCTCCAAGATCCTTCATGGAAAAATGTTCTGACAATTGTTGCTTTAACTTCTCAATCTCTTTTGAACTAGCTCCTGCAATCAACATGTCATCTACATATAATAGCAAGATAAGATAACAGTTCTCGATCTTCTTGTAGTAGCAGCAATTGTCGGTGTGACATCTCAAGAAACTGATTTCATGCATGAAACCATCAAATTTCTTGTACCACTGCTTCAGTGCTTGCTTCAACCCGTATAAGCTCTTCACTAGCTTACATACAAGATTCTCACTGCCTTCCGCCACATAGCCCTCCGGTTGCACCATGTAAATCTCATCATTCAGATCACCATGAAGGAATGCAGTCTTCACATCCATCTGATGTAACAACAAATTCTCTGCAGCAACTAACCCCAACACTAACCGCATAGTAGTAAGTTTCACAACTGGAGAGAATATGTCGGTGTAATCAATACCATAACGTTGCTCGAATCCCTTCGCAACCAGCTTAGCTTTGTAGCGTTTGCTACCATCTGCCTCCTTCTTGATGCGGTAGACCCACTTGCAGTGCAAAGCCTTCTTTCCTCTCGATAGCTCAACTAACCTCCAAGTATCATTGGATGTGAGAGATGTCATCTCATCATCCATTGCAAGTTTCCATTTGCCTTTGTCATCAACCCGAACTGCCTCTGCATAGGACTCTAGTTCACCACCATCAGTAAGCAACAAATAGAAATTAGAGGGTGAATACCTATTTGGTGCTCTCCGGTTTCTTGCAGGCCGCTTCCTTGGCGGGGTTGATGGATCCTCATCACTGCTCAACTCTTCATTTTGATCCTGCTTGCTCCCACCCGAAATAGAGATATCCAACTCTATGATCTTCGGACTTTCTTGCTCAGAATCGGATGCACTCAATCTGTCCTTGTACATAACCTGCTCGTTGAATACCACATCTCGACTATGAATAATCTTCCTAAACTGATCATCCCAGAATCTGTATCCATAGTCATCACCACTATAGCCAACGAATGTACACCTGACAGATTTAGCGTCTAGCTTGCTTCGGTCAACGGAAATGATATGAACATAAGCAACACAACCAATATGCGGAGATAGGACAGATTAACCTCATTACCCGTCCACCTTTCTTCAGGAATGCCATTCTCTAATGAGATCGTTGGACTTCTGTTGATGAGAAAAGCCGAGGTGTTTATTGCATCCGCCCAAAACATCTTCGGTAAGCCACTCTTCAACCTCATGCATCTTACCCGCTCATTCAGTGTTCTGTTCATGCGTTTAGCAACGCCATTATGTTGCGGAGTCCCCTTCGTTGTCTTCTCCATACGAACCCCATTCTCAGCATAAAAATTCTTGAACTCATGCAGTTCATACTCACCTCCATTATCTGACCGAAGGCACTTCAACTTCAGACCTGTCTCTGTCTCAACACGAGCTTTCCACCTCTTGAAAGCATCAAAGGCATCGAATTTATTTTTGATAAAATAAACCCATACCTTTCTTGTGGCATCATCAATGAAGGTCATGTAATAAGCAGATCTTTCTAAGGATGTAACTTCTGCAGGTCCCCAAAGGTCGGTGTGAACTAGTTCCGGCCTCTCCGGTTTGATAGCTTGCCTTCCCTTTGAGAAACTGACACGTTTATGCTTCCTAAATATGCAGTCCTCGCATAAGCCAACCTCAACAGTCTTCAGGCCGGGCAGTTTGCCCTTCGAGCACAACTCCTTCATCCCCTTTTCGCTCATGTGACCGAGCCGACAGTGCCATAAATTCACATCGTTTGTTGCAGCGGCAACAACATCGATGCAATCCTTCGTGTTCGTTGTCATGTACAACGTACCCTCCTTCTTCCCTTTAGCAACCAGCAAGGCCCCCTTGGTGATCTTCCAATTTCTGCTTCCGAATGTAATAACTGCATAACCTTCCTCATCCAGCTGCCCAATTGAAAGAAGATTCCTCCTCAAACCAGGAATGTGTCGGACGCCATTCAGTTTTAGCATGCATCCGTTCGGAGTCTTCACGTGGACTGTCCCCTTCCCGACAATTTTAAGAGGCTCATCATCAGCAAGATACACCTCTCCGAAATTGCCAGGAGTATACTGTTCTATCACTTCAGAATTACCACATGAATGAAACGAGGCTCTAGAATCCAGAACCCATGACTCCAACGGACTGCTCACGCTCAGGATCAGGAGATCATCACCAGATGATCTTGCCGCTGCATTGGCATATGTCTTCTCCTTCTGATCCTTGAGTTGCCCCTTGCGTTGGCTCTTGAAGTGTCCGTACTCCTCACAATTCCAGCACTTGATCTGACTTCTGTCCTTCTTGACCTTGCTGTTTGACTTGGATTTGGATCTAGATCTATCCCGATTTGACTTGGACTTCGACTTCGTTCTGCCCCGATTCTCTGTACTCAACGCCGATCCAGAAGCCAGACCTGATTCCTTCCTGCGAATTTCTTCGCTGACCACCAGATTTCTGTCTTCATCGAATTTCAGTTTCTCTTTCCCTGCCGAAGCGCTGACTGCAGTCACTGTTCCGTTCCAGCTTTCTGGGAGAGAAGACAACAGAATAAGGGCATGAATTTCGTCGTCAAATTTTATCTCAACCGCGCTCAACTGTGTGGTGATCACATTGAACTCGTTGAGATGATCCACCACTCCCGTACCTTCTGAGATCTTTAGGTTAAAAAGACGCCTCGTCAGATGGACTTTGTTCACAGCGGAAGGTTTCTCGTACATATCCGACAAAATCTGCAACATCTCCTTCGTCGTTTTTGCTTTGACGGTGTGTAGGGCGATGTTTCTGGACAACGATAGTCGAACCACGCTCATCGCTTTTCTGTCCAGCAACTTCCAATCGCTCTCCTTCATGTCTTCCAGCTTATCATCCAGAGGTTGATACAGATCTTTACCGTACAGGTAATCTTCGATCTGCAACTTCTAGAATCCGTAATCCGTTCCGTCAAACTGCACCACCGGTGTCTTCAAATTGTCTGCCATCGTGAGATCTCCCTTCGAACCTAGGGCTCTGATGCCAATTGTTAGGAATTTAAGTTACGCACACGAAAAAAACAATAACGAAGAACACACGAAATTTGGTAACCCAGTTCGCCACGAATGACTACGTCTGGGGGCGCTACCAAGCCAGGAATATTATTGCTATTTTCGGATCCACACCCCAATGATTACAAGGGAGAGATCTTGTATTTATAGAGAAGTAAATCCTAACCCCAAAACAGCTAGGATGTGTTTCCTAAAATAAATTAAGAAACGTGTTTTCCAAAAATAAATTAAGAAACTGTCTCTAACACCTTACAAAAGGTCACCACAAGCAATATTAGTTATATAAATGGATCAGTCATGTGATCGTGTCTATCTAATGTCAGAATATAAAAAAGTCTATAACAGTGTATATTATTCAATTAGCTAGGATTCATATCCTTTTTGTGGTAGGTATTGTGAATTTTATTTTGCAATTATAACCGTAGTAGTCTTTATTATGAAGTTAATACACTCTCATGCAAGGCAATGTTTAGACTTTAGATACTCCGTATTACAGAGTAGTAGACTAGTAGTGTGTAATTGTATAAGGGGTGTTTGGATCCGATTCTTAAAACTGCTTCTGCTCCCTGAAGGAGTAGAAACAGAAGTTTGAGTGTTTGGGTGAAAGTGCAAAAGTGATTTTGGTGCTCTAATTTACTCATAAAATCAGTTTTTTTAGAAGCAAAGGGAAGACCAGATTCTGAAAACTGATTCTAATTCTGCTTCTACTTTTAAAAAAGAAGCAAAAGCAGAATGCGGTCGGCTGTTAGAACATTTTATGTCTAGGATACACTGTGAATTCCTATAAACTGTGGGGTTGTGGGTGCAATTATCGATAGAAAGCAAAACAGACGACACGTTGCAACCGGAGCCGTAGAAAATGAGCAAAGAAGAAAACATAAAGGCAGGCGCTGGAAACTTCAGATATTTGGTTGAGTGCGAGAGAGAAAAACAAAAAGGCAAAACCGAACAAAAAGTTTTCATTTCTCAAATTTTAGTTTGCGGAGTAGTAATACTTAGTTTGCGGAGATTTTTTTTTTTTTAATTTGATTGAGATATCGCGTTTGCTCTTTCTTCATTCTCCGCCAAATCCGGAGTTTTCTCCCCTGTGAGTTTGATTCCAGAAGAAAAACGGAATAGCCCACATCCTTGCGGCGTAGTTCACTTCTTTTCACTTTTGCGGGTTTCGGTGAGCTTATATTTATCATATAATGCTAATTCTTGTGTCTAGGTACATACATATAGTGATATAGTGGTAGAAGGATGTCTATATTGTTTATAACTCGCTATTTTCCGTTGCTTTTCAATTTTAGTTTTTTTTGGATACAGAGCTGAAGGTGAGATCTGCGGGTAAAAATGAAATTCTCTGGCAGTGTTAAATATTACTACGTACGAGTAGTTTTAAAGTGATGAATGCTTATATTCAGTGAATGTGATTGATTGAGTTTTGGCAGTTTTCTAATACTTTTATTTTGTATCTGTTTAAAAGAAAACAGAAAATCTGAGGTCGATTTCTAGCTGAACAAATACTATTTGGTTTAATCATGGCTTTGGCCAGGCCCGGTCCTGAGATTTTATGGGCCCGGGTTAGTATAAATAGAGTAGGATTTAGAAATAACGTGTAAATGTTTATACATTTCGTAAAAACCAAGTAAAATTAAGCAATTTTGCTATCTAAATACAAGTATAACACATCAAAGAAATTAATAAATGAGACGTTAGAAAAATTATATTTAAATATGTGATAAGTGACATTCGAGAATACTATGTACCTAAATCGGTCAAATGGAAAAATAGTACAGTTATTACTTGCTATAAAGAATTTTGAATTTGGGAAATATGTGAAAGTTATATCTCATATGAAGTAACGTTTTCATATTTCAAATTACTAGGGGTGTCCCGGATTCGGATTCTGGAGGATTTTAATGGAGTTTAGAATTCCGTCTGAATCCAGGTGTCCCCGATTAGAATTTCTGTGGAGTCCATGAAAATAAGGGTGTCCTCAAACATTCATGGATTTCTATTATTACTAATTTGGATGGATTTTAATGGATTTTGATGGAATTTTACATACAAAAACAATCCACCACAATCTTGTAGATTCCCCTCGGATTTCAAAATCCATGGTCATTTAAAATCCATCAAACTCATAATCCACGACACCCCTCTACATTCTCACTAGACTAAAACAAACCGCAAATTTATAAATTCTTTTGATCACTTACATGAGAGAATCAAAGAAAATTATTAGAGCATCTCCAATGCTACAATGTGAACGATGCACATGTGGCATGAGAGACAACCACATAAATATTACGTTGTATCAAATAAACTATCTACCTATCTCCTTATTGGAATGATCTTATACAAATTTGGTAAGTTTTTTTCTACAATGTCTGCCACAATGTCAACATCTAGATGGTCTTCTTGACATTGTGGAGAAAACTTACTAAAATTGTATAAAATCATTCAAATAAGGAGAGAGATAATTTACTTGCTAATATTTATGTGGCTATCTCTCATGACGCATGTGCACCGTGCACATTGTAGCATTAGAGATGCTCTTAAAATATTATCAATAGATCATGAGTTTGCATGAGGGAAGTAGATGAAAAGATGAACATTTATGTGCTAACTTTTAATGAATCAAAAGAAATGGTGAAGTTTGTTTCCAATGAATTCCAGTGTGGATGTTTAACTTTTAAATTTTTATAGATATATAATGTATACTATCGTATATTATTAAATAATGTACTACGTATATATATACAACAGGGAAACTTATGGGCCCTGGGCGCATGCCCCGTTGCCCATGCTCCAGGACCGGCCCTGGCTTTGGCGTAGTTTGGGCTGAGTAGTGAGTACTGTCCTGAATTGCTCCATGGTTATGGTGTTTGTATGTAGTAAATTTCCATTGTACGAGGGACATGAAAGAATGAAGTTGTTATGTTCCATGGTCGCAATCTGTGCCCCCATCACTTCCATGCCCTAGTCCCTTTAGGTATTATTGCCGGTAGAATGAAGTTGAAGAAAAAAGCAATTTTGTGTGTGTATTTTTTCACCCACTCAGCATTGACTGAATTGCTAAAAAGATACATTAGAGAGCACTAGGGGCTTAAATAGCTTGTGATACATGATGCGATAGATTTGAAGCTGAAAATTGCAAATTTGACAGGTTTTGATGTTTTGCTAAGTAGCAGATTTCTTTCGTGTTTCCACGTCTTCTATGGATAAGATGTCAGGTATGAATCCTGTTTTGTGTTAGTTTTCTACGGCTATGCTATCACTGGTTAAGATTGTCTCATTTCATGTATGCTTATTTATGCTTTTGGTAGAGGGGATGCAATTTTATGATGACACACGAGATAGAAGATCAGACGTTGACAATACAGAAGATGAGAGGCGAAGATCTGGAATTGGAGCTTTGAAGAAAAAGGCAATAAGTGCTTCCAGCAAGTTTACCCGTTCACTCAAAAAGAGAGGAAAACACAAAATAGATTACAGGGTTCCTTCAGTATCTATAGAGGATGTGCGTGATGTAAAAGAAGAGAGTGCTGTTGATGAATTGCATCAAATTCTTATTGACCGTAATCTACTACCAGCCAAACACGATGTTGAGGTCAGTTCGGGAGTATTTTGATTTCACGTTTTGTTATGAAATGCATTTTATTTTGTTTAATACATGACTATTTGGACGCGATTTTCACCATGGGTCATCCGGAAACAGTCTCTGGAAACAGTCTCTCTGTGCTTTAGTATAGGGGTAAGATTGCGTACATCCGACCCCCCTTACCCTACCGTAGGTGGAAGCCTTTGCGGCACTGGGGTAAATGAAAATGAAATGAATGACTTTTTGGATATTTTAAGCAGATTCCTGAAAGCTAGAGATTTCAGCATTGAGCAAACCATCCACATGTGGGAAGCGATGCTTAAATGGAGGGAGGAGTATGGAACAGACACGATATTGGAGGTGGTACATATGTCCTTGGAAAGTAATTCTTCCTAATTCATTTACTCATTCCGTTCTCTTTAGCAGTCTCTAAAGTTTTTTTGCTCAAACAAATCTTGATTTGGATTGTCAAGATATCATTAATTGATCGTTTTCCACAATTATCCATTCATAAATCTTACTGACAGGACTTTAACTTCAAGGAGCTGGAAGAAGTATTGCAATACTACCCTCAGGGGTATCATGGTGTTGATAGGGAGGGTAGACCTATATATATTGAAAGGCTTGGACAAGCTCACCCAAGCAAACTAGTGCAGATAACTACAATAGAAAGGTACTTGAAATATCATGTCCAAGAGTTTGAGAAAGCCATACTTGAAAAGTTCCCGGCCTGTTCTATTTCAGCAATGAAAAGGATCTGCTCAACAACTTCTATATTGGATGTGCAAGGCCTGGTATGTTGATTTATTTAAATGCTAAGTGCTCTCCCATTTAAAATCTGATCAGAGTTATTTGCTGTTATGTATTCTAAGAGCATATTCTGGGTGCAGGGAATGAAGAACTTCACAAAGACAGCTGCTAGCCTTTTGGCTGCTGTTACAAAAATTGACAACAGCTATTATCCTGAGGTATTATGCTATTGCCTATTGAAAACTTATAATGCCTTATTGCCTTATTACTTTATAGGAAGTGTAAACTCTAGAAGTTGCCTGGCTGAATTTCTGCAATGTCTTTAACCATATACTGCAGACCCTGCATCAGATGTTTATTGTTAATGCGGGGACTGGCTTCAAAAAGATGTTATGGCCTGCTGCACAGAAGTTTCTGGATGCAAAGACCATTGGTAAAATCCAGGTAGAGGTCAAATTGAACTTCCTTACTCTCACATTGTATTGTTTGCAGTAAATATATTCTGTTCTCTGATAAAGCTTGGCGTTACTTCACTCTACTTGGTAATTGGTATAATTCAGTAATTCTCAATAAATTATAGTGTGTGCTGTAGTTCCAACTGTATTTTGTTTAAAATCATGATATGCAGGTTCTCGAACCTAAAAGTTTGGGCAAATTGCTTGAAGTGATTGACCCAGGGTTGGTTCACTTTCTTCACATTTTTTGTTTTAGCTATCACTGACAATAGTCATCTCGTATCTTGATTTTCTTCTGTTTTTTCAGTCAATTGCCTGACTTCTTGGGTGGGTCTTGTAACTGTCACACTGAGGGAGGCTGTTTAAGGTCTAACAAGGGTCCTTGGAGTGATCCAGATATAATTAAGGTGTCTATAATTGATTAATTAACTGTTCTTTATTCCATGTGCTTGTTTTTTAAATAATGCAGTAATCCCCCCTACTTTTAGCTTGTGAAAAATGAAGAGGTAGCATTGGTGAGACCAATTACTATGGCATCTAGCAATCCACGTGTTCTGGGTGAACAACCTAGCAACTTACATTCAAGGCTCACCCCTGTTTTTGAAGAAGTGAGTGTCACAATCAAATTTTCCATATTTATCAAATTTTCCAAATCTAGTCACAATATGACCAAGTGTTTCTTCTGTATAGAATTTGTTTATTTTTCTTGATAAATCTCTGCTTCTTGCAGGCAAGGTCATCAAATTCAACTCTTCATTATAGTCTTGATGAAATGAGTCGAAGTGACAGAGAAGTTGGTAGTGAACAAGGCCTACCTAGGTTGCCTTATTGTGAATCTCACTCATCTGAAAGGGGTGTTATGCATTCTTTTTCCAAAGGAGCATCAACATTTCAAGGTGTGTGTTTTTATAGTGTGCAATTTACTGTGAAAGTGTTTTTATTTGATTTGCCACTATATTCTATTCTTACCTAACAAGCTAGATAGGGGCTAGTGTGTCCCGTGACCCAGAAATGGCCCTGCAGATATGCACAATGAGCAGGTTGAGTCCATTCGTTGAAGGGGCAGACTTGTGCTGATGTATATGACCCAGCCAGACCCATGAAGGTCCACCTAAAAGTCTGGCTTAATTGGCCCAACTAGGCCCATCCCAAAGCTAATATACCATGAAATCTTTATTGAGAAAAGTGTCAAAATGGTACACCAACTTATCTCCAGTTTCATAACAAAATCAACAACTAAAATCTAAATATCATGAACAAACAATGACTAATATACTCAATCAACACATTAACCAAAAATTGAGAATTACAGAAGTGGACTGCATCGCTATGTCTATCCTACGTAGGGTTTTGCCTCCGTTTCCACCTAAATTCTGTGGTTCTTCACATAGAAAAAGAAGATGACGACTGGCCAGGCAGATATGGAGGATGAAGAAGAAGTTGGATCGGTTTTTCCAGTGGTCAGCGCTGTGGAGAATATGGGTGGAGGTATTTGTTAAGGGCAGACGTACAAGATCTCGTCCAAGGACGAGAACGAGAGACTGGCAGGGAACGAGAACTTCGAAAATTCTGAAATTTGGAATCTATGATGAATGTATTAACTGGAAGAATTAAAAGAAAGGCTCAGTGGAATTAATCTGATCTTGGAAGTATTCCAGAGATCCAGAAATTAATTCTCCAAAGCTGTTTATTGAATAATACTAATGACCCTTATATAGCTATTACAAGAGTCCTAATTCTAAAAGGAAATAAATGCTAATTAAGAAGTTTCCTAAAACATAATAGGAACATAATAGCTAATTGAACAGAGATAAATACTAATTAGGAAACTGCTGCAGATTATTGAATAGGAAGCTAGAAATAATTAGAGAAAGAGATAAATGCTAATTAGGAAGCTGCAGATTAGGAAGTTTCCTAAAACTGTCAGATCACAGATTTCTTTCTCAGCCACTTTGGATTCCAGAATCGTCCTTCCTGATCATCCGATTTCTACGTTGATATTTCCGACCATAGAATTGGTCTGTAACATCACTCCCCCCGTTGACAAAGAGCTTGTCCTCAAGCTCAAAACTGGGAAATCTCGTTTGAAATGAACCCAAGGGCTCCCAGGTTGCCTCATCCAGTTGGTGCCCTTGCCAGTGAACTAAGAGCTCCCATCCCCCTTGAGTAAGTCTACTTCGAATGATTGCAAGTGGAATTGAGGTGCTAAGACTGTTAGGAACTGGCGGAAGAGTGCCCATTGTCGTTGGAGGAGGCCCTTTATGTGGCTTCAAAAGGGAGACATGGAAGACATCGTGTATACGAGCCTCAGAGGGTAATATGAGCTTGTATGCGCTGTTGCCAATGCGTTCCTGCACTTGAAAGGGGCCAAAAAATTTCTGCAATAGTTTGTGATTTTTTTGGCCCAAGGAGAGCTGGCGATATGGCTGGAGACGGAGCCAGACCCATGCTCCGGGTTCAAAGGATAAGTCTCGGTGATGTTTATCAAACTGGTCCTTCATGCGTTGTTGGGCTTGTGCTAGTCGGTCCTTGACACTTTTCAGAAGTTGGTCACGGGCAATGAGCTCCCGATCAACCCCCTCGACCATAGTTGTGCCGGGCATATATGAGAGAATACGGGGCGGATCCCGACCATACACTAAACGAAAAGGGGTGTCCCCTAAGGAAGAGTGGTAAGATGTGTTGTAACAATACTCAACCCATGGAAGCCAACGGACCCATTCCTTGGGATAATCGCTAGTGACACAACGTAAGAACAACCCTACGGTACGGTTGACCACTTCCGTTTGGCCATCTGTCTGCGGGTGATATGCGGATGAATAGGCCAGCTTGGTTCCTGATAATCTGAAAAGTTCGCGCCAAAATGTGCTTACAAATATTTTATCCCGGTCAGAAACAATGGATTCAGGCAGTCCATGAAGGCGAAATATTTCAGCAAAGAAGACTCCTGCGACTGAGACAGCAGTATAAGGATGAGACAATGGGACGAAATGTGCTGCTTTAGAGAGTCTGTCCACAACCACTAGAATAACAGACTTGCCGCGAACCTTTGGTAAACCCTCCACAAAATCCATTGAAATATCGGCCCATATGTGGTGTGGAATCGGAAGAGGTTGAAGCAACCCAGCTGGCTGTAATGTCAACCACTTGTGTTTTTGACACGTTTGACAGTCACGAACAAAGGTTGTCACTGCCGTTTTCATGCCGCTCCAATAAAACTCACGCCGAAGCCGTTGCAAAGTCTTTTCCACTCCCTCATGAGCCATATTATGAAAAATCGAGATCAGAGTCGGAACGACTGCAAATGTATCTAGCAGGTAGATTTTAAACCTGAAATAAACTAGGCCATCTCGAATCTCCCAATCTGATCCACGTTGACCACTTCGAATTTCGCCAATGATATCTCCTATGATAGGAGAGGTTGCTTGTGCTGCCCGTATTTCAGTAAGTAAGGTGTTGTATGGAATACTGAGTGCTGCCAACTGGATGTCGTCCTCATGTTGTCGGGATAGAGCATCTGCGACAGTGTTTAGGCGGCCTGGCTTGTATTCTACCCGAAAATTGAAGCCCATCAATTTACTCAACCAATGTTGTTGTGGGGAAGTGGTCAATCGTTGATCGAGTAAATACTTCAAACTGGAGTGATCTGTCCGAATTAAAAATTCAGATCCCCACAAGTAGGGTCTCCAATGAGTCACCGCCTTGGCTAAGCCAATCAACTCTCTTTCATAGGCTGCGAGCTTAAGGTGTCGATCAGCTATTTTTCGACTAAAGTAGGCGATAGGATGCCCTTCCTGTTGTAAGACTGCTCCAAAACCTGAACCGGAAGCATCGCATTCTACAATGAATTCTTTTTCAAAATTTGGCAATTGGAGTACCGGAGCGGAGGATAAGCGTTGCTTAAGTGTCTCGAATGCCTGGGCAGCTTCCTCTGTCCATATGAAAGAGCTTTTCCTTAACATTTGCGTGAGAGGCCCCGCAATTTCGCCATATTGTTGAATAAACTTTCTGTAATAGCCGGACAACCCTAAAAACCCGCGCAGGGCAGATACAGATTTAGGGAGGGGCCACTCTGTGATTGCATGTATTTTGGATGGATCAACCTCGACACCCCCACGATGTATTATGTGACCAAGATAGTTGACTTGCTGGTCGCCAAAACTGCACTTGGACTTTTTTACAGAAAGGCCATGGTTGCGCAAGATTTCTAAGACGAGGCGCACATGATAAACGTGCTCAACCCATGACTTGCTATAAATCAGTATGTCATCAAAGAAAACGAGGACAAACTTGCGAAGGTAGGGCCCAAAAATATCATTCATCAAACTCTGAAATGTGGAGGGTGCATTAGTTAGGCCAAAAGGCATAACTAAGAATTCAAAGTGTCCATGATGCGTACGGAATGCTGTTTTTTCGACATCCCCAGCTGCCATCCGGATCTGATGATATCCAGAACGCAGGTCGAGTTTAGTAAAAAATTGGGCCCCATAAAGCTCATCTAGCAGCTCATCAATTACCGGGATTGGATATTTATCCTTAATCGTCTTGGAATTCAATTCCCTATAATCAACGCAGAATCGCCAAGCACCCTCTGGTTTTTTTACTAATAATACAGGCGACGAAAAGGGAGAATGACTTGGGCGTATGATACCTTGCGCGAGCATCTCTGAACATTGTCTTTCGATTTCATCCTTTTGAAAGTATGGGTAGCGGTACGGACGAACAACGACTGGGCCTGTTCCTGGGATGAGGGAAATTCGGTGATCACAAGGCCGAGAAGGTGGGAGGCCGGTTGGTGGGCAGAAGATATCCTGGAAGTCATTCAGTAGGCCTTCCAGCCCTAATACTGTTTCGGTCAACATATGGGCATGAGGAGGTGTAGTTGCAATCTGTCCGTGCCATTCCACTTTTGCATTCTGCCATATGAATTGCATAGAAAGGCGGGAGAAGTCCCATACAATGGATCCGAGGCCTTGAAGCCATTGTACTCCCAAGATCATGTCAAATCCGGCTAAGGGCAGTACATAGAAGTCTGCCATAAATGTGCGTCCATCGACCATGAATTCCAGCCGAGGGCAGGTTCCCAATATAGGCACCCGTTCACCATTAGCCACCAAAACCTGAAGACGGGACCCAGGTTGGACTGGATGAACAATATTAGAAACTAGCCGTTGATGCACAAAATTGTGGGTGCTGCCTGAGTCGACTAAAACCGTGATCGAGGTGTTGTGAATGTGTGCAGCTAACTGCATTGTCGATGTTGTCCCAGCACCAACCATAGCATGAAGTGAGAGGGGGGGCTCCAGGTCATCCTCCACGGGATTGTCTTCCAAAATATCAATGAAAAACAACCGTTTGCATTTATGGCCACGAACCCACTGATCATCACAATTATAACACAACCCTTTCTCCCGGCGGATGGCAGCCTCTGCAGGAGAAATCTTTTTAAAATTCGGAATGGAGCTGCGCCGAGGTTGATTGGATTCGGTCAGTGTGGACGCATAGCCTGATCGTGTGGCAGGTTGGGGTGGAGGGGAGATCTCGACCGAGGAGCCTGGCAAATTATATTTGCGTTCAACATTACGTGCGAGCATCATCGCAGAGTCAAGATCTAACGGACTTTGGTACTCAACCTCCATGCGGATGACCTCCCGAAGGCCAGCTGTGAATATTTTGACTTGCATTCGTGTAGAGATCCCCACGGTTCGAGCCAATAATTGTTGAAAATTCTCAATGTAGAGCTCCAGATCACGAGTTTGACGAAGTTTGGCAAGATCACCTTCTGGATTAGAACTACTGGGTGGGCCAAAACGTTTGATGCAGCGAGTGTAAAAGTCTGTCCATGTAATCTCTGAAATTCCTGTCTCCAGTTGATCGGCCCATAGTTGGGCGGTGC